CCTGCCCCTCGCTGGGTACGCCCTTGTTCTGCGTGGTTTGATGTGATAATTTATGATGCCTGTAAAAATTTTCAATTGCCCTTTCACCAAAACATAATTTTCCCGAAAAAGTAATAGATTTTTTCCTTTGGTAATAGCGTAATATAAATTACTTGATTGTAATAGATCTATTACGATTGTAATAGGGGTGGCATCACTGCCCTTGCTTACAAAGTGCCTATAATACCTGTCTGGTCCCAGTATCATACATTTTGTTTTCAGAATATTGATTTTCAATGAATTTGCACAACACCACCTATGTATTCTGTCCAGATTTCCATTAATGACATTTCTCATGTTTTCGACATCTGAAGATGGAAAATAACATACTACATCATCAGCAAATAAATGGATCTCAATTCCCTCAACAACTTCAGCAATGTCATTAATGTAAACCAGAAACATCAATGGTGCTAAAACGATTCTTTATTGAACACCTATTTCGGTCTCTATCAGTTCTGATTCAACTTGATTAACCCTGACTTTCTGCCTTCTCCCAGTTAGATTGCTTTGAAGCAATTCCAGTGCCTCATCCTCAATGCCTACCTTTCCCAGTTTTAAAAGCAGCCTTCTTCTATCCACTGTCTCGAAAGCCCTTTGCAAATCCAGAAAAACAGCACACACCGCCTGATTCCTGTCATTATAGCGCTTCCAATCGTCCAATACACATTGTATAGCGGCCTCGCAGTTATGTTTTGCTCTAAACCCTGACTGATATTGAGCTAAAATACTATTTTCCTCTAAATGATCTACAAGTTGCTCATACAAGACCTTCTCAAAAACTTTTGTTACAGAGCTGAGCATGTTAACAGGTCTAAATTCTGCTGCCATCTGTGCATTGGACGTTTTTGGAATAGGAACAATTGTTGAGATTATTAGTTTTGTTGGTACTTTGCATTCTAATATACATGAATTAATTATGTGCAGTAGTGGCTCCTTTAAATTCTAAAAACAGTTCTTAAACAAACATATAATTTCTAGTGGGTCACTTATTAATTTGTTATCAACTTCTATTTGGTTTATGATTTTGTTGTGTTGCTTTTTTGGGACTATATTATGTATTATTTTCCATAGCTCTTTGGAATCATTTCTATTTTCACTAAATTGATTGTTATAGTAATTATATTTTTCCCGTTTTATAACTTTGACAGCATAATTGCGTTTTTCTTTGTAGTTTTCAAAGTTTTGTTCCGTTTTATTTGCACAATACTGACGATATGCTATGTCCCTTTTTTCTGTAGCATTTTTAACATTTTCGCCCCACCACTTCTTGTATTTAGCAAAAATTTTAACTCTCTTTAAAGGTGCTACTTCATTTAAGATTTTGTAAACTTCATTATACATAATATTATAGGGTCAACTGGGGTAATTGTGAACAGTTTTAACAATTTTAACTTTGGTAGTGCTTATCTAAGGTTTCTTATTTTCTAAATCTATGAAATTTGGATTCAGTGTCGGTTAGTGTATCACGTATTAATTTACCAGGACAGACCGTCATTTGGCACATTACTTTTTATTTATTTTTTTGATTTACATTTACCCCACGCATTTACAATTACCCTGGTTAAAAGGGGCAAATGTAAACGAAGGTTTCATGGAGTATTAGGATGATACTAGAATTTTAAGGGGCAAATGAAAACAAATTTAGTATGACTATGTTTTTATAATTTTTTTTTTCAAATGAAGGGTATTTACATTTACCCCAGAAAAAATAAAATATGTAAATTTCTAAGGGCATCAGAGGGACAAACTAACAAAAAAACACGTAAAAATAACAGCTAGTAGCTCATCAAACAGTGGGCTTAACCTATGTCAACCTATTCATTATCTTAACATCACTACAGTCACAAATCTGCTACCAGCTTTATTTTTCGAAAACCGCTACTGACCCAGGAAAAACATAAATGACTTTTTTGTTACGATATTGAAGGTTTGGGTTAGTTTAATCATTTCAAATGTTGTAACTTATATCATTTGGCTTCTCAACAAACTCTGCTGATGTAGAATTTAACTCCTGAAACCCTTGAACCGTAACATCTCCTTCTTCTTGATCGATGTTTTGTATACAACAAACTTACTCATAATGGATTTTATTTTTCTTTCTACCCTGAAAATCTACTAATACAAACAACCCTGTTTTTAATTCATTCCAAACTGGTTTATGATATTCAACTTCACTTATTGATTCCAGTAATGACTAACTTTAATAAATCTTCATCAGAATAGAGACACATAGCCGATTTGTCTAACAGTTCTTCTTGAATTTCTTCTTCCTCATGAACAACCTTTCTTTTCTTACCATATGCCTTTTTAATCCCATTCTCATTCTTATCTTTTTGCTTTTTATTGGTCCCCTTCTTTTGATCTCTTAACTTTTGAGCAGTTTCCATTTTCTCTAGAACCTGTGGGGTAGTTAAAATTTCGTTGTTTTGTGGTTTTAGTCTCGGTATAATCTGCCTCTGTACCTTTTTAACATTTGATTGGTTAATGTCACACGTTAATGTAACTATTACTTTGCTCAGCAAATATGCTAACTATTGTGTTGGAAGTGAATGTGGTGGTGGATGTGTGTATGCCTTTAATAGGTGTAGAATTGTCAGGTGGCTGATCAGGATCGTTAGCATTCGAATTAGGACTTGGCATATCCTGGCAATTTTGTGGTAAAGATAAAGACACTCACTACCTACCTGATTACCGAAATTTTTGCATTTACATTTACCCCATTTTAGGATTTACAATTACCCCAACACTAAATTCTTTGGGGGTAAATGTAAATAGTATTTTGTAGGTTAGTACTTGCAAAATGTTTCTAGTTTTTTGTTTAAAACTAAGCAAGTATGACATTAACAATCACCTAAACCAAAATTCGAATCACAGTTACCGTTTTTGGGTCAGCAATTCACTTCTAAAAAAACCTTCACAAATCTGTTTTTCAGTTGAAACTGCACTGTTATGTTCACATGGCCGCATTTCAGAACCAACTGCCATTTCAACCTCAAAAACCACTCTTGACTAAACAAAACGCGGGAAATGCGGATAATGTTGTCAATTTTAGGTCAAATTCACTCTTAGCCAGAAAATACAAGGTATTTTCATTTACCCCTTTTCACATTTACCCCAGTTGACCCTATTTGTTTTGTTGTTTTCTGAGTTTATGGTTATTGCTGGTAATTTCGCTCATGAAATTTTTCACAAAACCACTCGCATGACGTGACTTTGTAAAAATGTCATTTATAGAACATTCAAAAATTTGCCCAAAATTTTTTTTTTCCTTGTGGTATAGGCGCCGGTCACAAATTCCCATAGCGGCAGTTTTCAAAAGATTTTGTATAATAGACAATTGGTCTTTTGACAGAAGTCCAATATAGTCTTAAGGCTGGGATAGACGTTCCGTCATGTCTATGAACTTGCTTGCGCAAACTTAAATTGAACGGTAAGACTGATTCCTCATTTGATCCCTAACTATTCAGTCTTCAGCTTCGTGGTGCATACATTTTATATTTTGGAAATGAAAATTTATTTCCAACTCCATTTTTTGAAATACGAGTGACAAGTAAACCAAAATATAGCTATTTTCCTAACGAGTGCGGGAAGAGAAATTTCGGAAATTTCTTCCCGCACAAGTTAGGAACTATATTTTTTCTACGAGCATACTAAAGCTGATGTTACGAGAAGTTTAATTTAAATAAAATGCGATTGTGCAGAAGGTAGAATTGAAAATGCATTGAAAGGTATTTATAAAAAAAGGTAAGGGTATTAAAGGTAAAGGCTCGGGTAAAGGTATAGGTGTATCAACAATACAAACAATTCCATGTCATAATGATTATTTCAAACTTCCACTGGTGCGAAAAGATAGTCTTCCCGCACATCAAATCGTGCGGGATAAGCCATTTTCCGCCCGCTCGTAGAAAAAGACAATAATGCAAAGTCTCGTCCATAGATTAGAATATATTGGAATTTTGTCAAAAGTCCAATTGTTTATTATACAAATTCTTATGAAAACTGCCACTAAGGGTCGCGGATTTCAATTTGTGCCCGGTCCCTATTATAGTACATAGTGTACGAAAAGTAACGGGACGGTCAATTATCTCTGAAACCCCTGATGCCATTTGAACAAAATGTGGTACCTGAACGTTATTTGACAAGCCGTTTTCAAAAATCGCATTGACGCTGTTGCCAATCTTACCAACTTTTCTGAAGGCACACAATCTTTTTTTATTTCATAATGAGAAGCTCCACTTGTGTTAACCTCCATCAATTGCTTTTGTCCTACTATTGATTTCATTCACCTGTCATTCCGTTGTCACTAAATCAAAATAGACCAATCGATTGAGATAAAAATAAATGAAGTATTACATTTTACTTAAGAAAGATTGTGTGCTTACAGACAAATTGGTAGGCCTGGCAATAACGTCAATATAATTTTTGAATTCGGCTTTTCAAGTAAATTCTAAATATATGAGATTTTGTTCAAATTGCAACACTAGTAGAAGCCAATTGAGCCACACAGCTAATTTTAAGGAACATACCAAAGTGTGCCCAATGCATTCTTTAGTGGCCTAAAACCCTCTTCGCATTATTTCCTCTCAAATTAAACCGTTTTGGGGCACATCGGTTTGATGGTTTCAAGGTCTATAACCGAACGGACATAGAAACAATTTTTTGTGTTTTGTATAGATTTCCGAACTCCACTTTACCCAAAAAAATAGAATAAGCTTAAGTCAACATCTCAAACTCGCGGCCCTATGGAAATATTTTTGTCACCCTGCAAAAAAAGGATAGCTGCGTAACGTTTGGGTATGTTAAACCAGGGCTGGGACTCTAACGAATAGAAATCTTTTCTAAGAAATTGCTATTTACCTCTAACAAGTGCAGAAAAAACAATTTCTGTCTAATAAAATTAATTACCTATCAAAACTTCCACTATACCGAAATCAAATTAATTGTAATTCTCTTTCCAGGAGGCCCCTTAAAGGATCCAAACAAGTCATTAGACTGGATGAACCGACTAGACAACCGAAAAAATCAGAAAGGCTCTCCGTGAATCATCAAGCATAAGGCGAGGGGTTTGCTGAAATCCTAAGGAAAAGCATGATCGATGTTTAAGCATTAGAAACCAGAGCCCTAGAAGCTGAGTAATGCTGATACAGGAGGCTGTATAACCATTATTTGCAGTTTGAATAGCGATTTCTGATTCAACTATAACTTATTTCAATATTATATATTGTTAACAATAAAGCAAATCCATTAATCTAAGCTTCAATGAAGCTGAAGCCGGCTGGAGACCATACTTTCGTCTGGTTTCCAGATCAGAAAATGTTTTTGTTCTTTGATTCTATTATTTCAGACGGACTTATTTGTGGGGTATTCTACCTCGGAGAAAAAACTTAAATATGGAAGAAGTCGAGAACTACCACTTCTCTCCAGATTCTACTGCGCTACAGCACTTAAGCGCAAATATTGATAGCAATGTATATGGATGTGCCAGGACAGATTGAAGCAAATTTAATGTTTAAACAGTAAAGGCTTCTACTGGGAATCAGTTACGTTGAAATGTTTTGTGTAATTCTCCCTATGGATGATGTCTCCATCTCCGTACACATTCGCTTCTGTCAACAAATTTTGATAAGTAGAAAAAGAAAGTGGATGTTTGAATTATGGGAAGCAGGGTATTATTCGTAGGGTTTTTGTGTGTTTGTCAGGTTTGGTTATTCTTTATCAGGAGATCATATTTATTTCTTCTAATTTCCCGCATTGAATGCAAAAAAGTAATATTCTCTGGTTCCGACTAGAAACAGTAATACCTATTCTTGGTAACTGGCAGATGAAGATCATATTTCTATAATATGTTTTTATGAATATTGCATTATAATAATTCTTGTATGTATGAGACAAGAGTTATGGTAGTACCAGTATTTTATCTCAGGGAGAATGAAATTATGCAGTATAGAACAGCCAATCTTCTTTAAATTGCCACATTCTCATCGTTCTACAATGAAATTATCGATTTTCATCAAAATTTAATTTGAATCCTTTGGTTTCACAAGTGTGATGTTAAGAAATTAAACTTTTGAATAACTGAAAGCAGAATAATTTTTTTTCGAGTCACGAAATGAAATTTTTTCTCGCAGAAAGTTGTTTCAATTTCATGGTTTCATGTTTTTCAATTTGCACTGTTTCCAATTAGAAACATAAGTATTTTTGGTAACTCGTGTATGAAAAGCATGTTTTATGTGAATTTTCTTCACAAATATTATCTCCCCTTTCTTGTATATTTGGGGACTCTTCTTCTTCTCTTCCTTTATTTCTAATATATGATTATCCATAATCAGTTGCGGACTGGCACATTAAAGCTAGGTGGGCTTCGCTCACCTTGGGGGCCCGTGTCCGTCAATACTGGGTCTTCGGGTTAAAGGTAGATAGAAGTGTTCCTTAATAGGGTAGGTAATGGTAATAATATATAGCCACTATATTACGGTCAAGCTCTGCGCAACCGACTCGCGGACTACTGAACTCAGCGCACATGCCTTTTGGGTACGTTTTTTGCGCCTCAGCAGTATATGAGGGGTTCAAAGCAAAAGTGGTGTAAGTCAAAAATTATTGTTTTGTGTAATCAGGCTTTAAAGTTTATTTAAAGTTTTTAAAAAAATATGGCAAGATAATTATTTATTTGTTTTTTATTTCAAAGTATATAACTAATATTGTATTTTTTATTATAATTTGTATACTTATTTTATCCTATTGGTAAAATAATTACAAAAAACTGATAATAAATTGACTTACACCACTTTTGCACTGAAAGTTTCAGGTAAAATAATTAAAATAAAATGTTTTACAATCTTTATTAAAGTAATATGAATACAAAATATATCAAGTTATATTGAACTGCAAGGTTTTTAATCAAAAACCCATTCATCTTCATCTGAGGAGGTTTCATGCCTTGCTGTTTGTGCCTGACGAGTCCTAATTTCTGTTGGAAGATTTTTAAAATAAGCATGACGAATGGGGGGGATGAATGGTAATAGGTCCAGCATATCGCGCTTTCTTTGTTGTGTAACAATACGCCTTTGGGGATATAAAACATCCTGATTTTCTGGTAGTGAAACAGGCTGTTTTCCTTTTCCTGCTTTTGCTAAGGAAACTTCATTAAAATCTATCATTTCGTTGAGAGTTTCCTTATACTTAAATTTAAATGGTGAACCACGTTCAAATCTGAACCACCTGATTTTGAGCCAGCTATAAGTCTCTCCTCCCACATTTTTTTTGCGGTTTGTTATGGAATCTTCAAGACTCTTTGTCGACAAAAATTCAGTTCTTTTCATTTGAAATACTTGGAAGGGCCTTGTACGTTTTGCCCCCTTTACAATATCTATCCAATCTTCTGGGCCATGTATTTGTGAGTGTTTTCTGCTGGCTTTTTCTACTACCCCAAAATCAGCATCGTTGGGTAAAAATGAGTGTCCAGAAACTAAAAATTTTAAATCTAAAGTGTTTACATTCATGTTATTATTCTGAACCAGTTTCAATAATGTGAGTGCTAATTTTATATTTCTGTTTTGTCCTGTGCAAGAGTCAGAGTATAAAATTATATGGTCGTATTCACGTGCGTTCTCCATCAAGTGCTTCACGAGACAACTTGCAATGTCCTGGGATCCTCTACCCCCCTCCGTTTCATCCCACATGTACATGAATCCATTTGATAAATTAAATGAATGAACTCCAAAGTTGTAAATATACATGTTTCTTTTGTAGTATGCAACAGATGTGCTTAACTGTGGGAATGGTAATGCTTTTTGTAGGTCAAACGTTGCTACATAAAGTGTATCAGATGCTTCATTCTTATTCTTGTTTAGTGAGTCTCGTGCTTGTTTAGCCTTTGCTAAGTGAAGATTTTTTTGGGTTTGAAGGTCTGTTTTAATTTCTTCATTATTTTCGGAAAGAATTTTCAAGTGCAGTTCATCGCATGTTCTGCAGGAATCTTTTATAGGGGGCTTGAAGTGCAAATTAAATTTAGTAGAGAAAACTTTATAGTAAAATTTTTCTTTAACTGGCATTTTATTTTCATTTGTACATTTTTCAACATACATTTCGTACATCTTATGAATTGACAAGTTTGGATTTAAATATTTTCTATTGGGATTGTCTTTTCGACTATAATGACTTTGATAAGCTGGAAATGATTTAATATGCTCTATAACATCTAAGTCATTTATCTTATTGGCAGGGATTTTTTTACCGCGACCATCAGTAATATCAGATACTTTTTTCTTTGCAAGAATTCTGTAAAGTCTACCATCACTAATCTCAAATGTTTGCAAAAAAAATTTTTTACATATTGGTATATTAATGTTGTTAATTTTAAGACTATATTGGTATGTTACAGATTTAGGGCTTTTGGAATTATCCCGAGGACGCTTCTGTTTAATACTTTCAGATTTTATAAGCCCATGTATGAATGTATTTTGTTTTGAAAAATCTCCCAATTTCCAGAACGAGTCATGCATTATTTTTCTCTCATTTTCATTTACACGATTATTACACATTTTCTTACATCCACAGTTGATATTCTGAAAGCTTTTTGCTGGTACCTCACGCCCCCTTGAAGATACGTCCCAGATAACACAGAGGGATCCATAAGACATCCATTGGTTGTCCACTGGACGGCCAAGCAAAAATACTAGGAAGTCCGATGGACATCCAGATTAAGTTCAGTGGATGTCTCATGGACATCCTCTGGCTATCCAGTTGGCACAGCTCTGGATCATTCCTGGATGTCCAGATCATAGCCATGGGGTACCGCTTAAATATCCATTTATGGATGTCCACGAGGCATCCACTGGACTACTTTTGGACATCCTATGGATGACCATGTCCAGCAGTTTTTAGGCCATTTATGGAATATTTTGGATACTTTATGGATGTTCTAGCGGCATCCATTTTTTCTGCCATTCATGGAATACTCCTGGACATAATATGGTTGTCCATAAAGCATCCATTTATGGACATGAGCTGGAAATCAAATTTCAAAAAAATTGCTGTTAAACAAACTTTATTGGATCATTTTATTACTTACACCTAAAAACATTATTTACATAAAATAAGTTTGTGTCATTATTCTGCGGTTTATTTAGGAAAAGGAAAATTATTTAGTATATTCTCAGAATTAAAAATAAAAAATATATTATTAAGTGAGCTGTGCATCGAAATTATTACTGAAACTATAGTTTTTCAATTTTTAATTCTGCGAAAAAGCTTAATAATATCCTTTTCCTAAACTAAACCGCAGAAACAAACTTTCAAAAAATATTATTTTTTATATTAGACAAAAAAAACAGTTATTCTTGGCAAATTAACATTAACATAAAATTATTAAATAACATAAATCATATACGGTCGAAAATACTGGACGGACAAAAAGTGACACTTCAGTCCCTGTCATGAGGGAGTGAAATTGTCGCTTTAGTCCCGGAAGTACGAAAAAAATATATATTTTTTTTTAACAATAAAAAAAAACGACTATTCTTATAGGAACTACTAAAATATCAATAAAAAAATATTGTTTTTTGTCAAACAAAACAAGTTTTACTCTCAAAGGAACCCAACAAACCAAAATAAAAACGAAGATAGCAGACAAGTGTTCACTTCCTTTCTTTTGCTCTACGCATCCAATTTTTGATACTACCCAAGTAACACAAAACATACATTAGATGTTTATTTTTTATCTAGATCATACATCTAGATACTGTATCGTTCGACGTCATATAGACGTCTACATGTCCGCCAGATAAACGTCTATGAATAATCTATGTCCTACTGAAAATCGATGTATTTTTTAAATCAGATTTAGACGTTATATAATACGTGTTTTTAGACGCATTATATTGAGTGTTTTTAGACGTCTTTTATATGTCTTTGTTAAATATACACTGTGGGCCAAATTAAGTTGGAACACAATTTGACCAATAATAACTTTTATGTCTGTTTATGGATT